CATTGAGATCTTCTTGCAATTTTTTTTACAAGCTCATCAGCTATAGTGTTAGTGTATTTTGAAGACAATTCTTCTTCTAATGTGGCTCAGGGAAACCAAAAGATTGGACATCCCTGCTCTATATAGTAGGCAATGCAGCCCACCAAGGTTTCTGAGCAGTGTCTCAGGAAGAGCACAGAGGCACCCATGAAGAGGATGCAAAAGGAGCAAAGTAATTAAATTACTATGGGACCACATCACAGGAGACCACATGTACTGGGCTCCAACAGCTCCTGTTGACAGAGCTTCCCTCTCCCATGGCTTGGCTTCATGCGATCTCAGTTGCCAGCCCCAACAACTGTCAATATCTGCAAAATACTAGAGTAACAGGACTCCTAGCCAACTCTCTGGATTACAGAGAGAGAAGAGCTGAGGTGGGGGCAGATGGGCACAGGGGACACCAAAGTCTTTGGCTGGCTAATTTCCATATAAAACCCAACGCTGGATTTCCTCTTCATACCACTTCCAGCCCAGCCCTCTAATGAAGGGCTGAAGCTAAGAAGAGTGGGCTGAAAGCACCTGGCTGATGGGTGGGGATCCAATGAGACACTACAACTATTGTCCAGCATGCCAGGTGGCACACGGACAGTGGTGCCCTTCCCATTCTGCAAGGTCAGTTCCACCTGTAAATCCTACTGAGGCTTCAAGGCTCAGGTCACATCAACTCTTCTCTCAGAGCCTTTCTAAAGTATCCCAATCCAAAATGACCTACTTCCTAGAAATCACAGCTTCCACATATTCAGCACCTGTTACAGGACAGGCACCATACTAGGTGACTTCCACATAATCCTACTCAATCTTCACAATGACCCTGTTATGCCCATTTCATACGGAAGAAAGTGAAGCTCTGTGAAGGGAAGCGGACTTGCCCCAGGACACACAGCTAAGAGGTGGAAGAGATGAAATCTGAACACAGGACTCCCTGAGCCTAAAGTTGAGCACTTCTAACAACACTTCATTCCTGTGAGCCTGCCTGCCTTGATCTGTCACTGACAGGTAGCCTGGAACTCTCTGGGAAGACATTATTAATACCTTTCCCTGTGGACAGCCACCCACACAGGCAGGAGCCTTTCAACACTGAAAGTAAATGAAAACAGTTAACTTAAACATAAAGCAGTACACAGATTTCACAAATTCCTCACGTGAAAAACTATTCATGACACTGGACTGCCTGAGCCCTGCTCCCAGCCACAGCCTCGGTCCGGATTCCTGGGAGAGACTGAGTCTCAAACGGGCCAGAGTCAACGCCATCTCGGACACCGGTCGCGCCCTGACCCCCAGGCACAGGCGGAGCCCTGACAGGTCACAGAGGGAGCCCTCGGGACAGTCCTGAAAAGCGTCCCCTTCGGTTGTCCCTCCGCAGCTGAATCAGGTTGTGACCTCTGCCGCCGTGAAGGCTCTGACTGCCCCCTTCCGGGCACACGGGCTCACTCACAGACCCCAGCCCCATTTAGCTCGGAGGAATACCTCGCTGTCTCTTTCACCTTCGCCGTCCCCAGCCGGGGAGCGGTCGCGCGCACCCCTACCTGCAGATCGCTCCTCCGAGAACGCGGAAGAGGCGGTGCTAGACCCAAGGGGTGTGCCCAACCAAACAGGGGCGTGAGAGGGCGGAGCTGCGCCTGCGCCCTAAAGGCTACCCGGGGGCTTGGGGGGTGGATTGGCAGGGGGTTCAAACTGAGCAAACTGCGCAGGCGTAACAGGTGAGAGGCGGGAAGAGGGAAGATTGCCGGCAGAGGGGTGGGGCTTAGCTCTTCCGGCGTTTTTTTTAACCTAATGGAGGTCTAGAAGCCAGGGAAGGGAGGAGGCCGGGCGCGGCAGGTGTAATTAACTTGTACCGAGCGCTTCTGCAGGCCCGGAAGGATTTTTTTTTTTTTTTTTTGAGACGGAGGTTTGTTTTGTCGCCCAGGCTGGAGTGCAATAGCGCGATCTCAGCTCACTGCAACCTCCACCTCATGGGTTCAAGCGATTCTCCTGCCTCAGCCTCCCGAGTAGCTGGGATTACAGGTGCCCGCCATCATGCCCAGCTAATTTTTGTATTTTTTAGTAGAGATGGGTTTTCACCATGTTGGTCAGGCTGGTCTCGAACTCCTGACTTCCTGATTCTTCTGCCTCGGCCTCCTGAAGTGCTGGGATTACAGGCATGAGCCCCCGTGCCCGGCCCAGGAAGGGATTTTTAGATGCTCTTTATATGTCAGGAAATGCTGCTAGTCTTTTCTAAAACGGGGGCTAATTCTGTAAAATTTCTTTGAAGGTCTGAGTGCCTAGAATTTCACCATAAGAGTTTTTCTTTGAGTACATTACTCCCAGTAGTTCAAATCTTTAAAACTTTAAAAAATTAATTTCTTGGGAAACAACCAGCCTCCACACATCTTCCCAAGGCTGCAGCTGCGATGAGAAAGGATGAGAGCGTGGACTGGGATTTAATTCAGGTGCTGAATTTATCTGAGTTTCCTTCTTTGTGAGATGGAGAAAACATCCCTTCCCTGCTTGTCTCAGGATTATCGTGAGGGTTTGGTAAGCAAAGCTAGTTAAAGAGCCTCAGGGACTTGCTCCCCATCATTCACTTGACAAACATTTGTTCCCTGTCCTGTCGGGGACGGTCTTTTCATCTGTATGATGGAAGGAGATTGGGAATATTAGTGAACATTCAGGACTTTGCTTGATTTCCCAATCTGGGTGAAGGTCCGACAGCGGGCGAGACCAAGCTTCTGTGTTCATTCCCTCCTGGAATCCTGTGGTCCAACCTGAGGGCCCCTATGTATCCTGACTTTTCCCACTTGTCACCTTCCGTGGAGGCCTACCCAAGCTTCAAGTCTTCAGAGGCTCTGCTGGCCTGTTCCCTTCCTTGTTCCCTGACTATCCCAATAGCTCAAGAGACTAAGGACCTATGTTCCAAGTTGTCAATCAAAGCTGCTATGTCCCTCGCATGGCAACCAAGTTCAGTTAACATCGAGGGCTCTCCTAAAGCAGATGGGGCTCTAGTCATGCTTGTGGCTCATTTTTCACCATACATTTCACAGCTAGCTGTGGGGTAGGGAGGAGAGTGGCAACAGGAAGCCTCAGAGGCTGCACTGTTTATGGCAGCCGAGGGTGATGCAGCATCCTTTACTCAATAGGTGGATGCTCTGCCCCAGGCTGGAGAGGATGACTTAATACCTAGGTCCCGGCTCCAAATATTGTTACGGATTTTTTTGGGGGTGGGGATCTCGCTGTGTTCCCCAGGCTGGAGTACCGTGTCACCATCTTCGCTCACTGCGAACCTCTGCCTCGGGCTCAAGTGATCCTCCTGCCTCAACCTCCTGAGTAGCTGGGACTACAGGCATGCACTACCATGCCCAGCTAATTTTTACATTCTTTGTAGAGGTGGGGTTTTGCCATCTTGCCCAAGCTGGTCTCAAACTCCTGAGCTCGATGTTTCTCCCACCTCAGCATCCCAAAGTGCTGGGATAACAGGCATGAGCCACCATGCTCAGCTTTGTTATCGCCAACAGGAAAACAAAGCCCCGTCTGACTTCCCAACCAAGCTGCCACTCTACCTCCCAATATGTTACCTCTCCCAGGACCCTTTGTTACTAGGTTTTGCCCCATGGGAGTGTGCTTTTTTCTCTGCATTGTTGAGGCCTCATCTCTTTCTTTTCCCCCTCTCTTCCTTTCTGTCTGTTCTTCTTTAAGCATCCTTCTGTGAATCTCTCAAAGCAATTTTGTGTCAGTTTTGTGATGTATTTACAGATATTCCCATGTAAGGTGCAGGTCTTGGGTCACACACTTCTAAGATAAATCTCCTTTCACTGCCATGGTCATATTTCAAAATGACTGTGAACCCAAAGCATGGGTCTTATAACAGTCTGAGCTGTCCAATGACTGAGGAGGTAGTGAGTGACCTGTCATAGGAGGTGTGCAAATAGTACCCTTTTAGAATGCTGGACTTGGGCCTCCTGTGGTGAGCTAGAAAGAGCAGCAGAATGGAGGGCCTTCCAGATTCTAGAGGATTGAATGAAGGGAGGGATATTAGGGGCTGGAAGGGAAGCAAGGCAGCTGGCCAAAGACACACTTGATTCAACAAGCTATTATATATCAAGCACTTAGAAATGTACCTGACACGTAAAGAACATTTGCTATTATGATGACTGTGAATGACTCATAGACTATAATGAAGGAGCTGAGATCAATCTGTCCTTCACTTCTATCACTGATAACAAAATAGATGGGGAATTGGGGTCTAGAGGGGGAATGGGCTTGCAGTGGAATTCAGGAGCTGGGCTGGGACTACAGCCTATGCCTCTGTCTGCCAGGAGAGCCTCTGCACAAAGCCAGGCTGGCTCCTTTGCAGGAAGAGGGAAGAGCTCTTAAGTGGGCCTTTGTTGACTCTTAAGAACCAAGCTGCTTTTTAATTCCTGTCCAGGCAGATTGTGGGTTAGGGGCAATGGGATGACAGCAAGACCTGAGTCAATAGATGCAGGTGCCTACTGGGGAGTAAGCTCAAGAGTCAGGCCCGTGTCCTGCCACCCCCACTGTAGCTCCAGCCAGCAACAAGTATCTTCCTGTTGAGGATGGCCTCCTCTCCTGTAATTAGCATTGGAATTGTATTTCCACTCTGTCCTTTTATCCACTAGCTGAAAAAAACTACCCAGATTAAGGGGGTGGAGTAAGAATAGCCAATGCCAGGCAACCTGAGATGAAACAAGAAATGATTCCTCTCAGACTGACTTCCCGGAAGGCAAGGGCCAGCCTTCACCCCAAGCGTCCTAGCCTAGCCTGCTCTAGGATTCCCAGAGCCCCAGGAGAATCTTGGTGTCCCCACCCTGGAGAGCTAGGCCAGACATGACCACACCAGCCAGCCCTCCACATGGTCCAGAATCTCAGGACAAAAACCCCTCCCAGCTCCATTCTGGCTCAGTTCCTTCCATGGTCTGTCTGCCAACAGACATGTGGCACCCAGACCACTGCTTCCCACCAGTTGCTGCTTTAGTTTGTCTTTTATTTTACGAAAAATAACAACAATAAAGTTTTCCCTCTGTTTCATAAAAATAAATTTTCCCACCCTCCCCTATCCCAGAAATCAGCCCTTGCCATAGCCTAGAATTCATCTTGTAAGCCACAGCACTCTGGGGAAAGCTCCTACTACCCTCGCTCCACAGCCTCTGGCGAAGCTGCCAGGCCACTCTGGAGGTGGCAGAGGCAGAAGTCCCAGGCCCAGCTGGCTGGCCCCAAGAGCTCTGTCTGTTTCCCCAAAGTGCAGGCAGCTTCTAGGCCACAGAGAGGGGCATGATATTGGATGCTTGGCTCAGGAAACAACCCCAGCCAACCCAAGGGGCAGTGGGGCATGTTGGCATCAGGTTAGAAATTATTGCTCAAAGCAGGAACAGTTGTGTCCTGAAGAGGGCCTGATAAACCCTCTTTCCAGGTGTATCTCTGTGTAGCAATTGATGGGCCCTGGGGTCAGGATCTCTGGTTTCTCCAGCTCCATGAACGCCTCCCTGTAAGGCCTTGGACAGTTTCTCCCTCCTCTTATCCTGGCTTCAGTTTTCTCCTGTGTACATTGAGACACTGAGACTGGATGATTCCCAGGTCCCTTCTGGCTTTCCATTCTGGCCTCCCAGAGCGGAGGCTCTGAGAGGGCAGAAGCCTGTTCCTGCCTCAGTTTCCCCACCTGTGGGTCTGAACATAGGGTTGTGTATGGATGAAAGGAGTAATGGAGTGCTGAATGAACATCCCAGTCTCCCTGTGCAAAGCTGTGCTCTGAGATCCAGCTGGCTGGAATGCCTCAGGGATGGCTGGGAAGGAGGCAGGTACTTTTAGGATGGAGGATCTCCCTGCCTGGAAAAGTCCATTCACCACCTACATCTTCAATGTCCTGGGATGGAAGACAAGACCCCAGAGTTCCCAATTCAAGTTCCACAAGTTTCTTGGACTAGAGGATTAATTTCTGCTGGGCTTCAGATCTGAGGAGCCAGGTCTGTAGATTCTGGGAGCTAGACTGGAGTACATGATTCCCAGCTGAAGGATCCAGGGACCTTTGTGTACTTAAGGGATCATCTCCAACCCCCAAGAGGCTACCTAGAATTCAGGCCTTCTTGGGGGCAGAGGGATGAGTAAAATGGCAGCTCGTGGGCCATCTCTGGGTGAGAAAATCAGAGCCTGTGTCTGCGGTGGGTCGGGGTTTAAGAACTCAAGGCAAGGCTCCACTTCCTACCTGCCCCAGCTCTCCAGGACTCATGCTGATGGAAGAGTGTAGCCTGGAAGGTCTGAATGTAGAGCAACATCCACAACCACATTTCGTGCACTTACACACATGGTCAGATACACTGAGAGGGGACACTGACCTGTCATCACTCCTACAGTGGTCATGGTCTGATGGTCTCATGATCTGATGGTCCCAATCTATTTAGCCATCCAGCCAACATTTATGGAAGGCCTACTATGTGCCAAGGAGGGGTAAGGCAGCTCTAGCTCTTGCAGACACATCCCACAGTGAAAATCACGCACTCGCACACCCTGGCATCTGTGCTCACTCACACGCAGACTGCTCTCTCTCTTGCATCTTTCTTGTCGTCACCTCAGCCACACCCACATTCTTCCAATAGGCCTGGGAACCAGCATGGAAGGGTCAAGTGTCAGAAGAAACCACCTAGCCTACCCTACTCCCAGACTTCATGCCAGAGGTTTAACTCCACTTCCCTTCTGTCTGCCCGCCTATATGCTCTCCCCTTCTCCTCCCATAAGCAGCCAGGGTGACAGGTAGGCAGACTCCTGAGAACCAGAAGTCCAGAGGCTTTGGGTATGTGGAGAGGTTCCAGTGCCTTCAGATTCCTTCAGGCTCCTGGGGGTCCCCTCTGCCAGCCACCCTGTGTTCAGATCGTCCATCTGATGGCCAACGAATCCAGACCTGGGCTCAGTGGCAGATCCGCTCTGTCATCTCCCTCTGTAGAGACACAAGGTAGGGAGGGGTCAGTCAGAGCTCAGCCTACTAGGCAATCCCTTCCCAAACCATAGGGCGTAGCTGCTCTTCTGTCTGAGTCTGGCCCCTTCCCCCAGCAACCCCAACTCTTAGGCTACAGATTTGGGTTTGTAAACTAACACTTGAATGAATTCTCTACTGAAGTACAGAATTCACTGTTATATGAAATGCCTTCCCCTAATTTATCTACTTGGGCATTGGAGTTACTTAAATAGGCAGCTTTTGGATGTGAAAACTTAGGCTAGCCTTGTAGGGGCGGGTGGTAGGGCTTGGCCTCACCAGGGGCTCCAGCTCCCGCTGGTCCACCAGACTGAACTCGCGGATGAAGTAGTAGAAGTGCTTGTAGCAGGTGTTGACGTGCGCCTCTGCCCCCATGCTGAGGATGCTATCAAAGTGGTGGATGTAGACGTGGACAAAGACTCGGAAAAGGCGGGTCAGGATCTTGGTGCAGACCTGCTGGAAGTTCTTGGGGAAGGGAACTCCTAGAGGGCAGGGGAGGGCAGAAGAAGGGGATTAGCATTCTGGTGCCAAAGCTCTGCCCAACTTTTCCCTCCCACAAACAGGTAACCAGTTTAGCTGTTTTCCCAGCACACTTCTTAGTACACTTCGCTTTAGGAAATAGAGAGTGGTTTAACTTCCCATACTTTTCTTTCTTTCCTTCTTCTCTTCTCTTCTCTTTTTTTGAGACGGAATTTCACTCTTGCCCAGGCTGGAGTGCAATGGTGCAATCTTGGCTCACTGCAAGTTCGAGTGATTCTCCTGCCTCAGCCTCCCAAGTAACTGAAATTATAGGCATATGCCACCATGCCTGGATAATTTTGTATTTTTACTAGAGACAGGGTTTCTCCATGTTGGTCAGGCTGGTCTTGGACTCCTGACCTGAGGTAATCCACCTGCCTCAGCCTCCCAAATGCTGGGATTAGACGCATGAGCCACCATGTCAGGCCATACTTTTCTCTTTAATGAAGCACAGATCTCACTGGCTCTCACCTGCTGACATATATATCATCTTCCACATTTTCCCATCACCTAAAGCAGGGCTTTGCAAACTTGTGGGGGTCACTGACCAACCCTTTTTAAACTCTGATAAAAGTAATGATCTAAACTGTCCCCAGAAATATGTGCAACTGCAGGGATGCTGACATCACATTCTTGTATCCAACTCCAAGGAGGGTTCAACATCTGGATCCAGTTTTAAAAAGCCTGAGCCTTCAGGATTAGGTCCTAACTTCCCAGCATGATGCTGCTCAAGGCCTTTCATGATCCTATCCTGACCTCCCTCTCTAGCCCCACCCCATGTCCCTCCTCTTTTCAACATTCATACAGAAGTCCTCAGACCCACAATTCTGGAAATTATGAATTCTGCAAGAATTAGTTCTGACAGCCCTCATTTCTTCAAATAACAGGAAGAACCTTTCATCTATGAGCCAGGCCCTGTGCTGAGCTCTTCATACCTTTTGCCTCCAATGCTTAGAACAATTTGGCTGATGTGTCTGATTATCATTCTAGATATGATAAAACAGGTGCATCAAGGTGAAGCTCCTCGCTCAAGGCCACATAACTATTAATCAGTGCAGACTGGAAACAGGATTCAAACCCTCTTTGTCTTTGCACTGCACTGCAGTGCCCCTCACAGGTATTGGGACCCATGAAAAAGGACCCGTTTCTGCATAGTCCCCCATTGCCACCTTGAGGTGGCAGTCTTTGTGGCTTATGCCTTCTTCTCTGTGTGGCAGAGTCACCCAGGGTTTTAAGCATCTATACCTGGAGTCCCACAGGCACAGGGAGGTATGGCCAGGGAATATGAGTCTACATTCAGGTCCACAGCTGGCCCACCCGGCTCCACAGACCCCCTCCTCTTCCTCACTGCTCACAGGCGGGGGTCGAGCCTTCCCTCCCTCGTAGCCCCTCCAGCCTAGCCCAGATTCCTCAGACACATCCTGCCCATCTAGGCTTGGGGTCCTGGGCTCCCACAGACCTGAGCCCAGTTCTGAACTCCTCCCAATTCAGTACATGGTCTTGATCTCCTGACCTCATGATCCTCACGTAACCTCAGTTACCTCCAATGTCTTTGTCGGGCATGATAGTGCAGGAAAGAGCAGGCCACTGGCTGGGGAGGAGCCGTGGGCATTGAACTGTGACTCAGTGCCCAGCTTCCTTCAGCATTCAGACTTCTCCCCTCAGGGCTTGACCACCCTGCCCCACCCACTCACTGATCCTCCACACAGCCTTGGCAAAGACGAGCTCCAGGCCTGGTAGGGGCTGGGCTCAGTAGCAGGTAGGGCTGGTGTGATGAACACAGTGTCATGCCTGCTCAGCTCCTGGACCAACACCCGCCTCCTGCTGCCCTCGGGTGGGTAAGCAGAGCCTGGATGGCATTACTCATCTCCTCTCACACCCTCACCCACCCAGGACTGCCCAGCTGAGATAAGAAAAGGCCCCGTAGCCTGTGCCTGACAAGGGAAAATTCTGCCCTCAGAGCCCCAATCTGAAGTGATGATACCATCAGGGTTCTCCAACCCCCAACTCCCTCCTTTTCCTGAGGCCAGGAGTCAGAGGGAAGCTCGGGAGGCTGGAGGTCAGATCAGCTATGAACACCTTGAGGCTCCTGTTCTGAAGGTTCTGAGAATCAGAGCATCTGTGGTCCGGAGCCAGAGTGGTCTATGGTGGGACCACTTATGTTTTAGAAAAGAAAAGCCCTCTGAGGCAGGTGGATCACCTGAGGTCAGGAGTTTGAGACCAGCCTGGCCAACATGGAGAAAACCTGTCTCTACTAAAAATACAAAAATTTGCCAGGTGTGGTGGCCAGTGCTACTCAGAAGGCTGAGGCAGGAAAATCGCTTGAACACGGCGGGGGATCAGGGGTGGGGGTGGGCAGAGGTTGCAGTGAGCTGAGATCATGCCACTGGTTGAAAAAGCCAAACTCCATCTCAGAAAAGAAAAAAAAAAAAAAAAAAAAAAGCCCCAAATTGGGAGTCAGGAAGTCCTAGTCAAATGTTTGACTTTGAGCAAGACACTTAACCTGTTTCGACCTCCGTTTCCTCTTCTACAAAATGGGATGAAAATCGCCCCCTCAGGCAGGGCGTGGTGGCTCATGCCTGTAATACCAGCACCTTGGGAGGCCGAGGCAGGCGGATCACCTGAGGTCGGGAGTTCGAGACCAGCCTGACCAACATGGAGAAACCCCATCTCTACTAAAAATACAAAGTTAGCTGGGTGTCATGGTGCATGCCTATAATCCCAGCTACTTGGGAGGCTGAAGCAGGAGGATTGCTTGAACCCGAGAGGTGGAGGTTGCAGCCAGCTGAGATCTCACCTTTGCACGGCACCCTGGGCAACAAGAAGGAAACTCCCTCTCAAAAAAAAAGGAAAGAAAATTACCCCCTAACTCTGCACAGAGTGGCTGTATCAAACTAAATGCCTCATCTGTGGAATGGGCTGGCAGTGGCTCCCTCCCCACCAGGTGAGGCTCACCAACACGCGTGGGAAAGACCTCCTCGTCGTTGATGAGACCTTCGATCCAGTCCATGAGCAATGCCATATAGCGCGGTGCGGAGAGCTTGGCCGGCCGCCTGTACTGGCGCTCGTCCTGCCAGCGGTACTCGTAGCGGGGCCCGCCGGCCATGACCGGGCAGCTGGTCTCGCTGCAGCGCTCAGGCCATGGTGCCGTAGATGAGGTTGATGCGGTTGAAGAAGTCCACCACGTGCACGGCGATCCAGTCATCGATGTTCTCCCCGGGCGGCAGCCTCACCACACTTCGCAGGTCCAGGCCGGACTTGAGCGAGGCCTGTGCCTTCTTGTACAGCTCAAAGCGCTGTGTGCCGGGCTCAAAGCGCTTCCGGGGCCGGAACGTCTTGTCCTTGGCGAACACCTGCTTCAGGCACAGGGCCATGGCCAGCTGGGCCTGGGGCTGGTGTCCAGGGGCTTGGACCTGAGGATACCCTGCCAAGGACAAGAGCATGGGGGAGCTGGCAGTCAGGGCCTTATCAACTGGGCTCTGACTTCCCAATTCATAATTTCTCTGGCACCTCGCAGCCTTTTGCTCAACGACTGCATCCTCTGCCTGGAATCTAAGTCTTCAGCCCCAAGGTCCAGCGCCCCGCCCTCTTTCCAGGCTACCTTAGTTGCCCTTGCTAATCCCCCACAGCCCTCCCATCTTGTTTGTTTCTTTTCTGCTTTCATTGCAAAGTCTCACAAAGGGCTGGGCGGGGACTCTAAACAGGTGCTCCTCAGACTTGCTGTTGGTCATGAGAGAGGTCGCAGAGGCTCCCTGCAGGCCCACCAGCAGACAGGGGCCTCCCCCTGGCCGGCTGGTGCAGCGTGGGAGAGCCTCACAGCATTGTGGCTGGGGGTGGAGGCGGGGTAGGGGGGTGGACAGCCTTCGGCTTCCTCTGGGATATCCCGTAGTCCATCCGGTCACCGGGGATTCCCAGGGAGCAGCAGGGAACTTTTCTACCAAAAATGTCCTTTCCTTTTTTTTTTTTTACCCTGAAAGAGGAAAGAGCCCTCCAGCTGCCAGCTGGGCGGCTTCTGAGTGTGGCTGCAAGCACTGGAGGAGGGGGAGGGCAGCAGGCCTACAAGGGCACTGCTTCCTCTCACAATGGCTGGAGATCCTCCCCTCCAAGCCAGTCTCTTCCAGCCCCAAATCTAACAAGCCACTGGCTCCTCCCCTTGCACCTGACACTCAGTAGACATTCCTAGAGCAACTACTATGTGCCTGGCACAGGGAGGTAGGAGAGTATAGTCAGATCTACCCAGCGGGGCCCATCCAGAGCTCAGGCAAATTTGCTTTGCCTCCTAGAATTTAAGGATCCCAGATTCAGAACAGACTTTGGGACACAGTGATCAGGGCCCTAGGCTCAGAGGCAGGAATCCTGGGTTCCAGTCCCAGCTCTACCACTGGCTTACCGGGTGACCCCTGTTATCACCATGGATTTGGTCCACCCAAGTCCTGGGTCACTCTGCTATAGCTAGGTTTCTAAGCCTGAGTCATCTCATCTTACCTGTGAGTGTGTTAGCTACCGGGAAATGCAGACCCATGTACCTACCAAGACTAGAATTTAGCCACAAACTAAGCACTGCCCCTGCCCCCAGAATGAGCACTAAGGCTGAGTATAAACTAAGAATTGCGTTCTGGTTCCAGGCTGACCTCTGACACCTGAGCTGGGGCGAGTGTGATCCCTTTAGCTCTACCCTGAGGCTTGCATATGGCCACAGACAAAGCCTGGTCTTGACCTCTGACTGACGCTGGAACACTGTCCTTTCTCACATCTCTGGTAACCCTGGGACAGAACTGGGGAAGGGAGGGTGGGAACCAGGTGACAATTGGGTAAAACCAAAGGCATGACACATATTGCAGGGAGGGGTATAACTTCTTCTAACAAGTCAAAGTAGCTGGGGAGATGTTTGAAGCAAAGGTCCTTCCTTGAACCCACAAAGGCAGGCCAGGATGGGGCACGCTAGTAAAATGAGGGCAGCTTGGAGAGTAGAAACAGGCCTTTCAGCAGGAACTTGCTCTTTTGAAAAAACCTCACAGATCTGAAAGGTCATGTCATCCATCCTGACTCTTCCACTTCTCACCCAAAGAAGTCTCCAGGGTGGGATCCCAGCTTCTAGAGCAAAGAGATTTCTGCACTTCACTTGCCATCTCCATTTTAAACACTGCTTGGGACAAGTGATTCCAAAATCCCTCACACTGCAATTAGGTGGGGCTCCTTCCCACATCGCATGGCCCGCTTTAAGACAGTTAGAAACAGGCCCCCATTCAGGCATTCACCTTGTCCTGCCTTTCCTGCCCCATTTCTCACCTCCCACACCAATCACCCTGGGCTTCATCCTGATTCCTGAACACACCCCCACTCTCTTGCCTCTCCATGTTTTCTTATCCCTTCACCTGCCTGACCACACACCTTCAGATCAGCTGCTACCTCCTCCCACAGCCTCCTCCTGAACTCGGATCTCCTTCTCCTTGGGTAGAGGCTGCTTTCGGTCATTGCAGTCTCCACTCCATCCCTACCCCCAGCTTAGGACAAGGCCTGCTGCAAAGTCAGTATTCAGGCTTTAAGGAAAGCTTAGACTCTAGAATCTTAGAGTTAAAATAGTCCTGAGAGATCAACTGGCCCAAATCACTTCTACACATGGGGAAATTGAGGCCCAGATGGGGAAACTGAGGCCTAAAAACAGGACTTGCGGAGCCTGTGTTCACAAAGCAAGTTTCAAGCAGAACTGGTAACTGGGATAAGTTGGGGCTTGGCTCATGACCAAGAGTAAAAGGCCATTTTCCTGCACTGGCTGGTCAATGGTCTGGTGGAGACAGATAGGAGGGGAGTGGAAGGACAGTGGAAGCATCTTTTCCACCAAACAGCCCAACCTGCTTCCTCCCCCCAATATGCTGACTCCGCACAGCAACAGGGGTGTCCTGACCAATGAGCTAGAGTCCCACCTTGCTCCCGTGGAACTTTCTCTTTCCAGGAAAATGTAAGCTCAGGGGGTGGGTACAGGGCAGGTGCTCTTCTAGCCACAGGCGTAACTTCCTTCAGTCCCATCCCCATGCCTTCACTGAGTTTCTGTCCGTCACAGAACGAACCCCTGTCTCCTCCCTAAACCACTGCGGTTCCCCCCAACCCCATTTCCCAATGTTGGCTATCCTTTCACTCCTGTAGTGGCAGTGGCTTGTTCATTCCCTGGGTGGCATCTGGGCTTCTCAAATGAAGACAGCAGGGTGACCCTGCCTGTTTCTGATCTTTGGCCCTCTGCCAGTCTACATCTACCTCTCCTTGGGCCTGACCCAGGATCTGGGACAGAGGATGGCCCCGGTTTGAACACAGAATCCAGCCTGGGACTCTCTGCAGGACAGAGATCATAGATAAAAGTAGAGGCGAAGACTCCATGCTCTCTCTGCGGCGCGCAGCCACCCACGCCCACCCCCAAACCAGCTCCCAGGGCTAGGCAGGCCGTAGGACCCAGAGGAGCCCGCCTGACATTTCCGCTCCCGAAGACAAGCCCCCCAACTGCCTCCCCTCTGCCCCGTCCAACCCCAAACCCACCCCAACTTTCGAAGCACTGAGCCTCGGACCCCAGCCCCAGGACAGCGCCCAGCCAGCCTTCGAGCGGGACTCGCCTCCGCACCGTGCCACGCCTGGACAGCCGAAGAAATGAAAGTGGAAGCCAGGCGGGCGGGGTGCGCGGCGGGGCCGCGGGGGCACAGCGCAGACTCACGGGTCCTCCTCTGGCCTCGGGGTCACATTCCCGGCCACAGGGTCGCCCTCCTCCTGCCAGTGCCGTGCCTATTCTCTCGCCCGTCTGCCCGTCCGTCCGCCTCTCCTGCCGGCCGCGGCCGCCCTCCAGCCCTGGGCGACGCCAGCTCCGCCCCAGCCCCGCCACGCCGTGGCCACGGGGCGGGGAAAGGGGGACTCCCCTCCACCCCAGTACACAGACGCACTCGCCCCCGCCTTCCCGTAAAGTCCATATTGTGCTCCCAGCTTCCCCTCGGACAGAGGACTAACTGAGCTGCCCGCCCTCTCGGTGCTTCCTTGGACCTCCACCAAGGAGGCAGCCTCAGGTTCCCAGACTGTAAAATGGGAAAAAGTTAGGCTCCTTCTGCAGCAGAAACAAGAGCTGCTAGATAGGGTGGTTCCTTCGCCCTCCTACAAGTGGGTCACACTTGTCTCGGGACCCAATAAGGGATGGGGACTGTCCTATCCACTTCCATATCCTCAGCTCCTTGGATAGCAGGAACTCAGAACTCACTTGAATGAATGAATGAGTGAGTGAGTGAAGAAATGAATGAATGCCTTGGGAATCATGAGCGACTTGAGTCCGTCACTCCTGAGGGACAGGCACAGAAGAGCGCTCAAATCACAGACTTCATCTCCTCAACCAGGGAGGGGGCCTTGCTCAGGCTGGGCTGATTCTCCTTGCTCCTCACAGAGTCACCCCATTTCTTACCTCCAGACCCTTATCCCAGCTGTTCCATTTTAGAATACCATCTTTCTCTCCTTCCTTCTGATCAAATCCAAACCACTAGATCTGATCTGCTCTCCCTTCCACCTGGGTTCCTTCGAGGACAGATAGATATCCCACCAGCGTTCAATGCACATTGTGGCCCCCCCAGGCCCAGGGACCAGTTGGCTGCTCTGTCTGGAATGGGAGGGAAGATTGGAGGCCTTCTACGGTCGGAAGCCCAAAGCAGACAGCTGAGCTGTAGAAGCCACTCTGGAGGAGTGGGAGGTGAATAGATGCAGATAGGGGAGAGCTGGAGGCCAGAGGTGGGCTTTTACCACGGCACACTGGACTCTTTGTGTTTGGACCTTCTGTTTGCTGATGAGAACATGCTAGATCCTTAATCCAGATCATATCCTTTGTAGCAACATGGGTTGGAGCTGGAGGCTATTATCTAAGCAGACTAACACAGGAATAGAAAACCAAATGCTGCACATTCTCACTTATAAGTAGGAACTAAACAGTGAGAATACATGGATACTAGGAGGGGAACAGCAGACACTGGGGCCTGCTTGACGTTGGAGGTTGAATGGAGGGAGAGGATGAGAAAAAGTGCCCATCAGGTACTATGCTGCTTACCTGGGTGATGAAATTATCTGTACACCAAATCCTCGTGACAGAGTTTACCTATATAACAAACCTACACATGTACCCTTGAACCTAAAAGTAAAAAAAGAATCCCAGCTCACAGAACTGTGGATATGTTCTTTTGTTAAGCACCATTTTTTGCCCCAGTCTAAAGTTCTCTGTGTTTTTATGTCTGACTCTTCTTTTTTTTTTTTTTTTTGGTTGAGATGGAGTCTCTCTATTGGCAGGTGGGAGTGCAGTGGTGCTATCCCGGCTCACTGCAACTTCTATTTTCCAGTTTCAAGCAATTCTCCTGACCTCAGCCTCCCAAGTAGCTGGGATAACAGGCACGTGCCATGACACTTGGCTAATTTTTTGTATTTTTAGTAGAGACGGCGTTTCACCATGTTGGCCAGGATGGTTTTGATCTCTTGACTTCGTGATCTGCCTGTCTCGGCCTCCCAAAGTGCTGGGATTACAGGCGTGAGCCACCATGCCTGGCCTTATGTCTGACTCTTAATTCTCTGCCCTGAATCCTCTATAAACAAACACTTGCTTATGGAATTGAGCAAATTAAAATATGCTTCTTTATTTATTTGATATCCTAATCAATATCTTTTATGGAGTGCGACTCTCCACTCCTATCTGATCAAGGGATTGGGTGATAAAGCTGAGCTGGTTGTTGACCTCAGGTGCTGACAGGTCAGTAGAGGGGACAACACACAGAGATACACAGGTCAGAGCTCAGTCACCCAGAAGTGAGAATGTGGTTGTGGACCGAAGGACTTTGGAAGAGTGGGGGTATTTGCAGGAAACACATGTAATATCCAGAATAGATATGTTTAATGAAGACATTATTTACAGGTATGGTCAAGGTGTAGGGAAACCACACAGACAGTGTGTCACTAAAGGGCTCAGAAGAGTAGAGGCTGTTAACCCTAGGCTGCAGGACTGCTGGGAAGGAGTGGTGAAAGTGGGAGCTCTGAGGAGGGGGCTGCTGTGGCCTAAGGTGGAGGGGCATACCCAGCCCTCAGCCACCACACAGGGAAGGATGGGGGCAAGTAAGAGACCCCTGTGACAGACCCCTCTCCTCCCTCTCTCCCTCCCTCTGATCTCTGGCCAGATTTCCCCAACTAGCTGAATCCTCCCAGAAGCTGAGAACAAGGGAGCCTGTTGCTGCAGCCATAGATGTCAGCCTCCTAGGGTGTAGAAATGGGTGAAGGGCCGGGCATGGTGGGAGGCCAAAGTGGGTGGATCCTGAGATCAGGAGTTCAAGACCAGACTGGCTACTGGCCAACATGGTGAAACCTGTCTCTACTAAAAACTACAAAAATTAGCTGGGCACGGTGGCAAGTGTCTGTAATCCCAGCAACTCGGGAGATCGAGGCAGGAGAATCGCTTGAACCCAGGCGGCAGAGGTTGCAGTGAGCCGAGGTTGTGCCACTGCACTTTAGCCTTGGCGACAGAGTGAGATTCCATCTCAAAACAAAAGAAATGGGTAGGGGGTGGAGAGCCATCTGAGGAGCCATGTGGGCTCAGGGCTGGCTTCACAGAGGAAATGACTTAGAAACTGCTTGTATTTTCCTTATCATTCAGTTCTAAATAGTTCATACATTTCATTGTAATTTCCTCTTTAACTCTTGAATGATGTAGAAGTGTGTTTTTTAGTTTCTCAACCTATGGGAGATGTATGTTTTTCTTGTTGAGTTCTAATTATATTGCATTGTGGTCAGAGATCATGGTCTGTAAGATTCTTTGGAATTTGATGTGACTTCCTCTGTGGCTTTGTGCATGGTCATTTTCTGAACCTCTGAGCTGGGTTTTATAGGATAGGCAGGAATTTTTCTGGTGAAGAGTGAACAGCACAGAACCTTACACTGTGGGAAATAGAGATGATCCATTTTGAAGAAACATCAGAAATTCCCAGCTCATCCTCAGAGTCCCTGGGTATCTGCAGGACAGGAGGCAGGTGGAAGGGATGGGGAAAGCCAGAGAGCCCAGATCTCTCAATTACTTGTACCCTCTTCCTACCCTTCTCAGTCTTGGTTAGAGAGACTGGTTCTTCCAGGAGGCTCTGCTGGGGTTGAAAAGACCCAGACCTTGGAGAACAGGTTCTGGCTTTACCATAATTTAGTTGTGTGGCCTTGGGATAGTTCTGCCCTCTCAGATGGCACACTGTAACCCTCCAGGACTGCAGACCTAGACAAGATGGGCTCTGTTCCCTGCCATTGTATCCCGAGTGTGATAAGTGGCTCCAGAACGGTTCAAACAACACTCATCTCTGAAGCGTGGGGTTAGCCAGTGAGGACCTAGTAGAGCATGTGCCCTTCTCCACTACACAGCCTGGGCACATGGCCCCTCGCAGTGGGAACTATGAGTGGCAGCAGGGTGGTGTCTGCCACTGTTCTGCTGTGTGCCTTTGGGAAAGCCCTTGCCTCTCTCTGGGCCTCACCTTCTACACCTGTACCACGAAAGCATCTTCTAGCCATACTGACTACCTCTGCAAGTGCCTTATCAGAACCAGCTTCCTGTGCCTTCCCGCTGTGGCCCTGTATCCAGTGACTGCACTGATACAGAGTGGCCCCTTCCTGGGGACTCCCCAGCCCTTTCTATGAAAAGCGTCACTCTGAAAGATTCCCCTCCTTCCCTGCCCCCCGAATGAGCTGCTGCACCCTCAGTTCACCTTACCAAGTGTCTGGCAGCTACTGTAGCCTGATAGGGCCCACCCTCTCCTCACTCTCTCCCAAGAAAGTTTCCATTTCAGCTTCTGCCCCTCCCTGTCCAGGAAGCAGGATCATCCATCCTGGATTTTCCATCCTGGCCCAGTGAGGAGAATGCCAGGGGCACCCTTACAGGAGTCAGAGGAATTGAGGTTAGAGTTCCTTTCACTTGAAGAAGACAAGGTTCAAGGGAAGACGGCAGGGGAAGACAAGGCTGACAAGGATATGCACTAAAATTCTGTGTGACCATGGACAAGGTACTTGGTTTCTGAGCCTATTTCCCCTTCTCTAAAGTAATGACAACAACAAGATGTGCCCCACAGAGGAGCTGAGAGAATCAAATGCGATAGCCCTTGTAAACAGCAGAAGGCTGTGTGGTCAGGCTGTTTCAGGGGGGCTGCCTTCAAACGCCCAGCAGGCGTTTGTGTGGAAGAATGATTGAGCTTGTTCCAGGTTCCTAGAGAGCAGTGGGCAGACACCCAGGACAATATGAAGGGACACCTGGTGCATCAGAGCTGTCCAGGCATGCAGCTTGGACAGCTGTGCTCTTCTCTCAGGAGGGAGTGGTGTAAGCAGAAGCAATCAGCCCTTGGTGACATGGACTTCAGAGGGTTTCAGTCCCCCTGGAAATGGGGAGGGCCCTCTTGCCTCTAGGAACTTCTGGCTCCAGTATTCTCTGCTCCAAGCTCCTCCTCCTTCCCAGCCCTCTCCCCTTAAGGGCAGCGTTGCTCTCACCTCTTCCATCTTGGGAAAGAGACCTCTGGAGGTTGGGGTGGAAGTCTGGTGTGTATTAAGGCCTGAGGACAATTTCATAGCTCTCAGACCTGACCCTCAACATGGCCCCAGTAGGCATTGTCCCCTCTAACCATTTGGGTTGGTTCCTAGCCTGGGAAGCCCCAGTAGTGGAGGTGATAGTTGTGGGTGAGGGGTCGTTTCACCAGTGTTCCAGGCTCAGCCTTCCATGGAACCCACCATGAAGGCTGCCCAGGAAATTCTGTCCAACCCTGGCCCCTCCTCTGCCGCTGGGTGCTCCCACTTCAGCCTCTGGAGCTACCTTCCTGGAGCAACCCCCACTTAGTTCAAAGCTTTTCTGCAGAAAGCCTTCGGATTGCCCGTCTGGATGCACCCTCCTCCTTCCTCCAGAGCACAGCGTCCTTTCTCCGCGTGTGCTCAGTAACACCTGCCTCCGTGCCTCAGCATTGCCAGCAGGGATGGGGGTTTCTTATGGTCCCCAGAGGGCTGGGTGTTATCTTTTAGTAATAATGGTAGTAAATTATGGCCGGTCGCAGTGACTCATGCCTGTAATCCCAGCACTTTTGGGGGTCAAGGCGGGCGGATCGCTTGAGGTCAGGAGTTTGAGACCAGCTTGACCAACATGGTGAAACCCCCCCATCCTGTCTCTACTAAAAATACAAAAATTAGCCAGCCATGGTGGCGGGCACCTGTAATCCCAGCTGCTCAGGAGGCTGAGGCAGGAGAATCGCTTGAACCCAGGAGGCGGAGGTTACAGTGAGCTGAGATCCAGCCTGGGTGACAGAGCAAGACTCCATCTCAAAATAAAATAATGGCAGTAAATTATGATTTAAATTATTATGGTGGGGTGAAAACACATCAATTTCTTCTATTTGTTCATTCATTCTTATATTCTAAAAGTATTTACTGAGGGCCCATTAGATGTCAGGCATTGTGTGCTGGCCGGTTGCAGACCTTACCTTTGCTTTGTGGGTGGTGACAAAGGCTCTGTCTTCTAAGAACTTCCATTGGGTCCACGTGTCCCATTGGCTACAGAGAAATATTGAACAACAGGTCAGGGAGTGGGGTGGCTTGTAAAAGGGAAAGATTCTTGGATATCACTTAGTCTAATCTCCTTGAAGTATGTAGAAAACAGACATAGAGAGAGAAAGAGATCAGCCCAATGATGAATCATGATAATAAAAACCATTCAGTGAACTTTATGTATGCCTTTCCCTGAGACACATATTCTCATTTCTTCTTTTCAGCAACCCTGGGAGAGAGGGAGGTTTATCTTCTTAGAGCTTTTAAGTTGTTCTTTCCTTCAGAGAGGGACGGAGGGGCTGGAAAACAAGTACCACTAAGTAGGGAGAAGGGATTGTTTAGACGATCTCCCAAACCCTACACTGAAGCTCTCTCTGGGTCCCATCTTGGCTTCATATCTAGGAGATAGGAAAGCTGTGTCTGCTGCAGTGGGAGGCAGCAGTTCAGTGGGTGGGGTCCACTTCTTGGTGGAGACTCAAGCTGCACCCTGTGGAGTCTGGATTCCACACAAGTACAGCCTGTAACTTCCTGCAGTTGTTATCCAGCTTGTCATCAAATTGCATTTGGGGCCTTTTCTTTTTTTTTTTTTTTGAGATGGAGTTTCGCTCTTGTTACCCAGACTGGAGTGCAATGGCGCGATCTCGGCTCACTGTAACCTCCGCCTCCTGAGTTCAGGCAATTCTCCTGCCTAGCCTCCCGAGTAGCTGGGATTACAGGCACGTGCCACCATGCCCAGCTAATTTTTTTTTTTTTTTTTTTTTTTGTATTTTCAGTAGAGACGGGGTTTCGCCATGTTGACCAGGATAGTCTCGATCTCTTGACCTTGTGATCCACCCGCCTCGGCTTCCCAAAGTGCTAGGATTTACAGGCTTGAGCCACCGCACCCGGCCGGGGCCTTTTCAAGAAGCAGCTGTAGGAGCTCAGCTTTGCCCAAGGCTAAGTGGACTAAGGGTATGCTCTTCTTTTCCAGGAAGTTTTCCTAAGTTACACCAGCTGCCCGGAACCAACCCTCCTCAGGGGGGAGCCCTTGACTCAACAAGTTCTCAGTGGTTTGCAGATGTGCTCCTTGGTTAAGCCCATGGAGGTAGTGTCTTCCCCTTTGGACTGTAAGCCCTTAGCAGTGGGGTTTTATTTATTTTGCCTCCTTCCATGTTACCTTGTAGCAACAACTGACAGTTGTAAGGAACTTTCTGGTTTACAAAGTGCTTTTACTACTCTGGTCATTTATTTTTTTTGAGATGGAGTCTCACTGCGTTGCCCAGGCTGGAGTGCAGTGGTGCAATCTCAGCTCACTGCAACCTCTGCCTCCTGGGTTCAAGTGATTCTCCCACCTCAGCCTCCCCAATAGCTGGGATTACAGGCACACATCACCATGCCTGGCTAATTTTTGTATTTTTCTAGAGATGGGGTTTCACCATGTTGGTCAGGGTGTCCTCGAACTCCCGACCTCAGGTGATCCGCCTGCTTTGGCCTCCCAAAGTGTTGGGATTACAAGTGTGAGCCATTGTACCTGGCCTACTTTGGTCATTTTTGAGTCCTGTAACAACCTTGGAATGTGAGTATTGGCTCCAAAAGGTGAAATGACTTGGCTAAGAAGCACAGCTTGAAATGGCAGAGCTGGGCCAGGCGGGGTGGCTCACACCTGTAATCCTACCACTTTGGGAGGCTGAAGTGGGCAGATTGCTTGAGCTCAGGAGTTAGAGACCAGCCTGGACAACATGGCGAAACCCCACCTCTACTAAGAAAATACAAAAATTAGCCAGGTGCAATGGTGTGTGCCCATGGTCCCACCGATTCAGGAGGCTGAGGCAGGAGGATCGTTTAAGCCTGAAAGGTGGAGGTTGCAGTGAGCCGAGATTGCTCCAAGGCAATCTAGTCTTGCTCTCTTGGGCAACAGAGCAAGACTTTGTCTGAAAAAAAAAAAAAAAGAAAAGAAAAGAAAAGAAAAAACGTTGCAGAGCTAAGACTCAAAAACAGGTCTCCCAGCTCTAGTCACAGAGTCTGCCCTTCTGCTTGACACTACCTGAGCACTGTTACTGTTAGTAAGTTAGACAAAGAACAAATCAGTTTGAATGGGGGCTAGACACTTTCTAGAAAATGCTTTCCTGGGAAAGTAGATGATAGTGAAGACCTCTGTGCCTGGATCTATGTTAATGCAATTGGAAGCATTAAGTACATCAACCAACCTCAGCAACCTTGACACCACCTTAGACTTCTCACTCACTCTTTTGATACCCTTGCAAAATCTGCTGGGGCAGGTCATATTCCACATATTCTACAGATAGCACCCAAGAGAGGAAGTCATTTAGTGTGAGCTGAGAGTTTAAAAAGAGATAAGAAGGAGGCTGAGTACAGAGAGAAGAAAGGGGTTTAGGAAACAGAAGGCTGTCTGAAGGTCACTTGGCTTCTAGAGTGCAGAGTTGCCTGCCCCTGGGAAGAGGGCATGAGGTAAGGTAGACCACCACCAGGAGACCTGTGCTTCCCTAACCTTGAGAGCAAGTCCCTCTCCATAGGGGTGCCCAGAGGACACAGTGTAGACTGCTGGCTCGGAGACAAACTGAGAAGAGTGAGAAAGTTCCAGCAATCAATCCCAGCTCCAAAGGGGTGTGAATCTCCCAACTGAGCTCTATAGCTGAGTTCCCATCAATCCCTCACCCTCCAACACCCCTCCCCAGCCACTGCTGCCTGCCTGGCTCTCCATATATCACCTGCCTCTGCTCACTCACCACAGGTGAGACAAAATGCACGTAGGATGGATGGAGAGTTTCAGCCTGCACAGGCAACACACAATTCTCTGTGCAGCTGCAGGGGCCAGGCACAGATAATCCAGTGTAACAGATAATCCAGCATTTGTTTCCAGGAGTCATGAGCCAGCGAAATTCTCAGCTTTTGAAATCAAATAAGGAAAACATCTGAACTCCAAGCATTAGGGAAAGCTTTCATCTCTTGCCCCATAGAGGTCTTACCTAAGGGCATGCTGGGAATAGCTAGTCTCATCCAAGAAATCTTTACTAGAGGTAGACAATAATAAAATCCTTGTCTTTTTTTTTTGAGACAGAATTTTGCTCTTGTTGCCCAGGCTGGAGTGCAATGGAGCGATCTTGGCTTACTGCAACCTCTGCCTCCCGGGTTCAAGCGATTCTCCTGCCTCAGCCTCTCAGGTAGCTGGGATTACAGGCATGCGCCACCATGCCTGGCTAATTTTGTATTTTTAGTAGAGATGGGTTTCTTCATGTTGATCAGACTGGTCTTGAACTTCCAACCTCAGGTGATCCACCCACCTCAGTTTCCCAAAGTGCTGGGGTTACAGGTGTGAGCCACAGTGCCCGGCAAATCCTTGTCTTTTCCAGATATTTTCCAATTGGATTGCCTTGAAGTGCAAAGACGATTTGGAACGAGATAGAAGGACTGCTGCTACCAAAACCCTGTGTGACCCTGGGGAAGTCACTTGACCTGGTTTGGAGCCTTTTTCTTCGGGTGCAAAGTAAAAGTAAAATCACTAACTTATTATAGGAGTTCTCAAATCAGGCTGAGTTTCCGAATTACCTGGAGAGCTAAAAAAGAAAAGAAAAATATTAAGTTGGTGGAAAGTAAGTGTGTTTTTGACATAAACGGCAAAAACTGTAATTACTTTTGCACCAACCTAATAGTTTCTCAGCCCCGTCCCAGGCCAACAGAATCTATATCTCAATGGTGAAACTCAAGAATGAACAGCTTTGACAAGTTCATCAGGTGTTTCTGATGCTCAGCCAGGTAGGAAAATGACAAGGTTGGATGGATTTGGTCTCTTTAAACTGTCAACAGTTATGTTTAATGAGTTGCCAAGGAACTAAATACATAGACATCTGTAACCAGGAATAACTGTGTCTCAGATAAGCCATCTACAAATAATCAGGCAGGCCTGTATGTTGGCCCCAAACTCCAGATGTTACCTGGCTCCTGACCTAGATGTTAGCTTCCAGGCTTTGGGTCTGGGCAATAGAGTGAAAATTCAAATCAAAATGACTGAAACCAGCCAGATGAAATGGGGCTATGTGTGGAGGTCCAAAGGACTAAAGTTCCAGGTAGGAAAAGCCGTGTTTGACAACAGATTATGGGAAGATAGCAGAAGGTGGGAGTAAGGACAAGGGCCAGGAAGAGGTGAAGTGGAGTCAGTGAGATGACCTCAGTAAGTGGCTATGTCGGGAAGTGACTTCCAGGTGGACCCTGCCAACTCCCAAGGGACAGTGACCCAGAATCCACTCTGATTACCCCACAAGGCCATGTTGGGCTAAACTCTAGGCCCCAACTATGAGGCAGACACTGGTGACACTAGCTAGTCTGTCCAGATGCAGGTGAGCCAGAAGGGAGGGGCTAGGGTTTGGAGTCATATAACTAAAGACAGACAGTTCTGCTGAAGAGATGCCAAAGCAACTTGAGAGTTATCTTTGCTTATCAGCAGGAGAGATGGTTAGGTAGAAAAGTGAAGACTCTTCTGGGAGGTTCCATCCACAGCAGGCAGAAGGAGGTGAGGATAGTGAGAAGAGGCCAGATTTCGGCTAGGGGTTGGGAAAAACCTGCTTAGAGCTGTCTCGGCATGGTGCAGGTTGGTTAGTGGGTAGAGAGTTCCCAGTCCCTGGGAAGATTTTAAACAGTTGTCCAGTGTCTGAGTGGTGCTGTAGAGAGGCCTACAATGGTGGGTGGGAGATTAGACTAAACCAGGGATTTTTTTTTTTTCAGTCTGTCTTGAAAATTGTTTCTTCAGATGACAGTTTAAGAGAAGCCCAGTAAATAAAAGACTGATTCTCTGGTTGAGTTGGGGGTCAGACTCCCAGGGTCCCCATCTCTAAGGGGACTTTAAGATTTCTTTCTTTTTTTTTTTTTTTGAGACAGAGTTTCGCTCTTGTTACCCAGGCTGGAGTGCAATGGTGCAATCTCGGCTCACCGCAACCTCCGCCTTCTGGGTTCAGGCAATTCTCCTGCCTCAGCCTCCTGAGTAGGCTGGGATTACAGGCACGCGCCACCAT